GCCCTAAAGTAAGATGGTCATTTCTAGACTTTTATACTGTACAAATTTCCTTGTTTTATTAAATGCAGAGATCTGTATTGGAATCAATGTTGGAGGTGTATAGTTGTGTCCACGTGAAGGGAAGAAAGTGAAGTGACCCCCTCAGGAGTCAGCATATCAGTGACACTGATGTTCATTATGTTAGTTTCTAAAAAGGGGTTTCCACAGCATTGTGACCTTTCCTTTATTACCCTATAGCCTTTTTTTACCAAACAGCAGGCCTTGCATTCATTTGGTTTCCTCTTCCTCTGTGTGTTACTCCCCTAGCAATATCATTTCCACAACTTAACTCTGCTACTGTGTATCAGCCATGTTTCCAGAGTTTACTTGTTGACCATTTGAATAGGCCATTGAAGAATTCACAGAACAAAGACTTATAAAAGTGTTTTAATATCATCAAGTTCATTCCCACATTTTAATTATGCAGAAACATTTCCAGACAGGTAACAGAGCAATAAGAGACAAAACTGGGACTTGAAGCAAAATTCTGACTTAAGCTAATATTTTTCTCACTATATGACATGTTTGATTTTACAATGGGCCTAGAAAGAATGTGTATGTCACTTATTTGGGCCAAATACATTAATTGTTTCAAGCTGTTACTATATTATGTTTTTGAATAACAAGATAAAAACACAATTGCTAGGACATAGCAGCATAGGATAATAAAAAGATAATGCAAGATTTATTGCTAAACTAAATTTGATTTAGGGTCCTTAATTTACTAGCTGTGTTATTTTAGTCAGGTTGCTCAACTTTTACAAAGTTGTAACTACCAGATAGTACTAAGAGTTTAATGTAGTAGTACATATAAAACATCTAACATATAGTAGGTGCTCAATATATAATGGCTTCCATTATTTCTAACCTGCCACTAAAGAACTGTGCCACTTTGGCAAATTTCTTTAGCCATTTGGTTCTCAGTTACTCCCTCTCTAAAAGGAGAAGATGGAAAAAAATGATGAATTCCAAAGTCCCTTTCAGTTCATCAAGAAATAAGTAATTCCCAAAAGTTCCTTCATGTTAATTTAAATTCAACAAACACCTCAGTACCTTACATCCATCCTAGGCACTGAGGAGTTTCAACTACCACCAGGAAAAGTATCTATGATTTCAGCAGAATAAGGCCAACTGCATATTGTACTTGAAGTTCCACAAAGAAAAATTACTATGCAAAACCAGAATACTTAACTTCAAAGAAAACTCTACAAGGACATCACAAACCTAATGTAATAAATAAAAATAAATTAAGATACACCTTAAATTATTACTCTGCTTTTTTGCTAGGGTTGAAGATGAGAATCAAAATATTTCTATTATAAGACTGTAACAAAAGACTAAAGAGACATTTAGAACAACTAATGGCATTTTTTTGCAAAGAAAGAAATTAACAATAAACTTCCCATGAGAGTTTTCTGATAGACTGTAAAATTTAAGATACTTGTGTCATTCTGAAATAGAGGGGAATATAGTTTCTAAGAGGTGTTTTACAGTGATAAACATTAATGGAAGAAGGTAGTTGACCATGTTCTCACATTACTTTTTAACTTTGTGTTTTGGATTTACATTTTCTAAAAATAAAATATAATGTAATTTAAATGATTGATCTTGTAAGCAAAACATGGGGAAATAGTAACTGATTTTAAATGAAAATTTTAACTGTAAAGTTTTTCCCCTTTTTCCATAAGGAATTTATAATCAATGGATTTTTTTCATTACACATAAGGCTTTTTACAAGTATCACTCTACAGGTTTAAAATATATTTAAAGTCATGGTTAGAGCTCCTAATTATGGTTTCCCAAAAACTGATCTGAGATGTACTCTGTTCCCATGTCTGTACAATATTATTAACCCATATTTTAGAATATTAGATTGCACATCTTAGATGATAAATGTTATCAACAAAAAACTTTTGCCTTTTGTGAGTATGAAAAGACAAAAAAAAGGCCCACTTAAATATTATCTCAAATGTGTGAAATAAAATAATATAAACTCAACAGCTGTGTTCTATGGGTTAATTTTTGTCCTAAAAGAGGACAAAGAGTACACTCTGTCCCCCCAGCATACTTTGTGTGCAAATGTCCAGAGAGCCACAGAAATATGATGTAGGTATATACATATCAATCACAGTGTGAACCAGAGGCAGAAGGCTTGGATCCTTTTTCTTGGACAAGTCACTTCACCTTCCTAGTTCCATCTCTTTATCTATGAAACAAGAGGAACCACCTGATGATCTCTTTTTCTTCAGTTGCTATACTTAACATCTGTGTGTACCTTCAATACAGCATTAGAGAGGCTCAGGATATGGGGCAAAAGTGCTCACATGAGGTCACATGAGAGCATTATTCTGCTCTTCAGCTTCATGCATGCTACCAGGATGAGGCAGCTTCTGTAGAGAGCCAGACACTAAATGGCCTGGCTTTGTGCCTTGGCTGAAAACACCATCCATGACTATGACAGCACTTAAAGGGGAAACTGTTTTCTGAATGTAATCCAAAAAATAGGTAGGGGGCTGTGAGTCCTCCCAACCTCAGACCCTTTTATCTTACCTGGCAGAGGCACTTTCATTTAGGTAACTTATGCTTTCTGAGCCTTAAGAGAAATAATTCTGAAAATGAATGGTTCTCATCCCCAGTCCCATATCTGACACTTGAAAGTACACAGATTTTTATGTAGCAACTACATTACATGCAACAATCCTAGGACACCTTTGTAAGACAGAGTTTAGCATAATGGTTAAAAGTATGAAATGGACTCAAATCCTGGCTCTACTAAACTGCTGTGTAATCTTGGAAAGAAAATGTAATCTCCTTGTACTTCAGAGTTTTTTGTCTATAAAATAAGGAAACTAATAAAACCTAACTCATAGAGATGTTATGAGTATTAATTAAGATGTAATACATGCAAAGCAGTTAGCACAGGGCCTAACATAAAGGGAGGAAGGAAAAAAGGAAGGAAGGAAGAAAGGAAGGAAAGAAAGAAAGAAGGGAGGAAGGAAGGAAGGAAGAAAAGGAGAAGGATAATTGACCCTGGGATCAGGGACCCCCTTTTTGAGTTTATCCGAAGGTCACAAACAATTTGCTGGCAGTGAATGACATCTGCTGAGCTTTCCCCTTCTGAGAAAACAACATGACAAAGACTCAAAGCTGGGATCAGCTGTTACTAATAGGATCCTGCAGAATTCAGGAATAAATAAAATTATTCTGAAAGTGGGAAAAAGTTACTCTAGTTTAAGACAAGATCTTTCAAAGAGATAGAACAAGCCCTGGCTGGCATAGCTCAGTGGATTGAGCACGGGCTGCGAACCAAAGTGTCGCAGGTTTGATTCCCAGTCAGGTCACATACCTGGGTTGCAGGCCACGGCCCCCAGCAACCTCACATTGATGTTTTTCTCTCTCCCTCTATCTCTCTCCCTTCCCTCTCTAAAAATAAATAAATAAAATCTTTTAAAAAATAAAATAAAATAAAAATAAAAGAGAACACACACAAACACTTAATATGGTCATACAGAACCAGAGAAAGAGGGTTATTTTTTTTTATTTACACCTTCCCAAGTTTTGCCAGCATTAAAAGCTACAGAATTTTATAACTGGATGGCTCCCTAGAGATCATCTAGTTAAACACCCTGACTTGATAGACAAGTAGCTGAGGCCCAGCAAGTTTAAGAAACTCACTTGAGGGCATTCAGCAGTAAACTGCAATGCAAAGACAAACTTTCAGACTCCCCCATTTTCCCACCCAGTACTCAGCCTGGTATCTCTCAGCATCCTGCCCTTGTTGCTCCAAACAAAGTATTAAGATACATGCACACACACATACACAGGTTTCTCACTTTTGCTCAGGTTCAAAAAGTACAGAAGCAACCTCCAACCCCTACCCACCCCAGACCTTTCCAGACCCTCAGACGTGGGAGTTCAGGAGGATCCTGGTCAATCTCTGGCCCTCTTTGGCGTTTCTGTTATCTCTCTCTGTTCCTTCCTCACATCAACTATTAAGGGCTACTTCCAGAAGTTTCTCAGTTCAAAGATCAGGCACTTCCCAGGGCAGAAGTTACCACCTGCTCATTTACAAATTCTCATCTTTCCACAAATGCTACACATAAGTTTCCTGCAAGCTCCCTGAGTGAGTTCAGTCAGAACAAATCCCTCCCTTCCTCCCTCCCTCCCTCCCTAAAAGAACTCAACCAGGTATCTTTATAAAATGCATGAGAATGTGGAGGGCTGGGGAGCCCTTTGGTATGCCTGACAGGACAACCTGAGAAAGAGGGGACCAAGGAAGGGGATATGGATTAGGGGGAGGAGGGAAATGGGTAGAAGGAACTGACCAAATTGCAAAGTCTGGATCCAAGAGACAGCTGTGATGTTGCGTCTGACTCACTGCTAAGAAGGAACTGAACTGCCAAGGGGTTTGCACTGTTTTAATTACAACAGTCTGGTGCCTCAAATTACACAGGTAGGAAGCAGGGAAAAGCTACCCCAAAGTAGCAGAACCGAGAAGCTCTCTGTCTTCCTCTGTCTCCTTGTTCTCTCTCCTCAGATGCTGGCCACTCTATGCCTGGGGCGGGGGAGGGCGGACGTAGCGGCACAACCCGAGCTCTCCAGCTTCGTAGCATCATCCCTGCCTGGGAACCCCACGACTCGCTGTTCTCCCAAAGATAGAAGAGAAGTGTAGGGCACCAGAGATTTTATTCAGATCCACTAAGTGCTCTCCCCACTCCCCAAACCCTAGCCCCTTGCAGGGAAACTGATCTAGGAGAAGCTTTCGCCGAGGGACTGAGGCTGACAAACTGGGGCACTTCTTGTGCCGAAGCACAAGAGCCCGCGTGGGGTGTCCCTCAGCCTCAGTCCCGCTGGGAGGGTGGGAGGCGTATGTGTCACATCCAAGTGCTCCTTTCCCACACGCGCACCCACCCCCGAAACCGGAAGGAAGGCTTTCCTTCTGCCTTTTTTCCTCTCCCTACCTGAATTCTGGGACCAAGTTAGGCTGCAAGCCGTAGAAAGCAGCGGAGAGAGTGACCAGCCACCCGGGCTTGTAACTCCCGTTCTCGCACTCCAGATAAGGCGGAGACCACTTGACATGGCTCTTGTCCCCGCCAAACCCGTCCCTGCGCCGCCAGCCATGGCCCAGGCCCCGGGACCCGTGGTTGGAGCCGCGGCGGTGTACGTGGGTCCGCCACTTGCGCCGGAGGCCATGGAACCACTCGGTCTCCAGAGTGGCGTTGGCCAGGTGGTGTGCCGAGGACGACAGGTCCTGAAACAGAATGCGACTCTCCTCGCGCGTGGCTTGGAGGAAGACCTGCGGGGCGGACGTGGACAGCGACTCGGTGCTGAAGGTGATGGCCGCCCGGGAGATGCTGGGCTCACCCTCCAGGAGACTCCGCACCAGTGCCTGGTACCACTCCAGGTCGTCCTGCAAGTTCTGCTCTCGCGACTTATTGCTCTGCAGCATCATGTTGAGGAAGTTGGTAGCGTGTGTCAGCGTGTCCAGTGCCCCGTGCAAAGAGGGATGGGAGCTGGCTAGGGCTGTCGACTTCCCGGGCAGGCCCGCCAACTCATAGCGGCCGGAGCAGTTGGCTCGCTTCAGCTGGTGGGAGTCTCCGGTGTAGAGGTAAGAGGCCACGTCCATGGGCACCTCCTCGGCGAGTTTCTGCGCCAAGATGGTGCCGTCGGTGGAGCGGCTCCAGGGAGCCGAGGGGTCCGAGACAGAAGCTCCAGCCGGCTGCTGGGCGTGCTGCTTCCCCCTCAGGGTCCTCTCTCGCGGCGAACCCGGACGTCCCGCAGGGTCGCGGCTGGCACCAACAGCTCCCAGTCCCAGATGAGTGAGCAGGAGGCAGAAGAGTAAGGGATAAGCCATGGCTCCCATCTGCCTCTCAGAGGAGAGGGGGTAAAGGGAGGAGTCACTTTTTAAATTTTGGTCGTCAATTTACCAACAGTAAGACTTTTATTAGGAGTCTTCTCCCTTCTCCAGTTGGCACTCAGTCGAAAAGGACTTTAAAATAAGAATGCCTCCAGATCTTACTGTGGCTAGGCTACCGTCACAGGAAATCGAATCACCTGTGGCAACGCCGGCTGCAGCTGCTCCACGATGGGTCCGCTCAAAATTACGCACCTCACAGCCTTGAGCCGAACAGGTTACCTCCCCTCTGGCTCCTGGCAGCTATAGTTAGCCTGCTTACGTCTTTCTGCTCGGCAGCTTCCACCGCTGCTCTCATTGAGGTGTGTTCAAGAGCTGCTGGGGCTGCTGCCGCCGCGGCCGCCGCAAACGCTGCTCCATCATCTCACCCGCGGCAGGTTGTTCCCGCCTCCCAGCTCTGGCTCCTCCTCCTCGTTCTCCTCGCCCGGAGGCGCGGAGCGCGCTCACCCAGACAGGCACCGAGACGCAGCAGCCAGTCCCACGGAGCGAAGATTTCTGTTACGGCGATTGACTCTCTGGGGTGCAGAGGGCCAGGCAACTGGTTAATTGGAGCTTTGGGTTTGGCCACAAACCACACTCCTGCCTCTCCCTGCTCTCGGGAGGAAAGCCTGTTTAAAGCGGCAGCTTGGCCGCAACCAAACCCTTGTAGGGCGGCATCAAGTCCATCTTGTTCCCTGTTTGGTCGCCTCCTATGTCAATTAGCCGACTGCCATTTGCGGGGAATGGGGCGGGAGCTGTCCAGTGCTGAACCCGAGGCGGCACAGAGGAGGCGCAGAAGGAGGCGGTGGCTCGAGATGCAGCAGCGCCGAGTGCTTTCACCCACTCGCGTTCCCCGATGACTCTGAAACCTGAGGGGGTTGGATGAGGTGGGCGGGAGTGAGGGGAGAAGCAGAGCTTTTGTGGCTCAGAAGGAAGGAAACTTGTACGTACTGAGGAGGAGGGTGCTGGCGTCTTGCATGCTTAGTTCAATCAGCCTTTTTGCCTGAAAAAGAGGAAGAAAGGAGTTTTCATTTCTGACTTAAATCGGAGGGGAGGAACGTAGGATGGAGACGTGTCCTCCTGAGCATCTGCTCATTTTTGGCAAATCATCAAATCCTCCTCCTTGTCGGTTGAAGAAATGATTAAAACCTACTTGCAAAAGTCTTGGCTATGAGGGAGTAATGGAGACATCTACTGGCTGAGCTTTTTTAAAAAATGTCATATTTAGAGAACCTGTGCTTGAAAGGGGACCAGGATGAAATGGAACCCGTGAAAGTATGCAAGTGAAGATGTGTAAGGGACAGAGCCTGTACAAGGGGCAGGACAAAGAGTGTGAGAGAATGAGAATGGGTGAGTGTGCATTGAGTGAGAAGGGAAGTCATCCCTAGAGACTGAGAAGTCATTCCTATAGACTGAGATATCCCAACAGAAGAAAGAAGAGGTCAATAAGTACATCAAGCTCCCTCCCAAGTAATTGGAAAATCCCTTAACAGCATCTAATTGTTTTATTTGAAGCTTTAAGAATGTCTTCTGACATTCTGAAAATACTAATTAGTACTGGATATGTAGTGTTTTTACACCTCCATTTTCCATATGCACCTTTATTTTCAAATTCCCCAAGAAAGACAAGCAGTAAATTCCAAATTCATTTCAAATCCCAACTAATAAAAATATCACCTGTAGTATTCTAAAACAGCACTGCTTAGATTTACTTTATCATTTTATTTTATTCTTATCACTGAGAAAATACCTGAGCATTGAAATGTAAGCTCCAAAGAGCAAAAGTTTATCTGCATTGATCATTGTAGTATCTTGAGCATCTAGAACACAAAAATATGCCTGGCACATAGTATTTTCTCACAAAATACTTGCTCAATTAATGAGTAAACTAGAAGATCATGATGCTAAAGCTAATAATTTAAAAACCCATCTCCATACCTAAGATGAGAGTCTGCCTGATATGTCAATGATGAAGGCTTTTGGAATAAGACATAGCAACCAGTTTTCCAAACTGCAGTGCATGGTCTCCAAGTGAGCTTTTATAGCTATTCAAAGAATGGTTATTAAATTTTTATTTACTTACAAGTAGACTTCATGTTCATATCCAACTTTCTGTTTAAATTTTGCTTTGTGGTGTATGCTTCTTTGCTGAATAAAGGTCATCCCAGTTTAATGCTCTACCATAGCACATGTAGTAATAATAACAGAGGGGAATTTCTGTTTGTTTAATGTATCAGAGTGTACAATACAATATAACCTCTATCTATTTTATCATCTAAAGATTGAAGTGTAATTTTGTCATTAGTTGATTTTTTTAGAAAATGTCCATAACACTAACGATTCTTTAGTTTTCTAGTATTACACTTAAAAAGTTTTACTAGCAAGTCCTTTTGTAAGTAATTCAATGACACAGCAAATTTGAAAGACCTGGGTTCTGGTCTTGGCATTGTTTTTAGCAAGGTGTACGGCCATAGGCAAGTCATTTCAAGTTTCTGTATCTTGGGGCACAAATTGTATCTGGGCCTCATGATTTGGCAGTAAGAGAGTACAGAAACAGCATCTGAGCCACTATCCAGGAGTGTCTGTCCTTCCTCTAGTGCACATCTAATAAGAAAAGAGCAGGCTATGAGAAGTTCCTGCAAGTTAGCATTCTTTCCAGTGGATCGCCTTCAGTCTACATTGCCAAACAAATGGGGTGAACTAATTGGGTCTAGAACAGCACTGCCCAATAGAAATATAATGAAAGCCACAAATGTAATCCATATATGTAATTTTAAATGTTCCCATAGCACATTTAAAAAGAAAAATGTTAAATTAATTTTAATAATATATGTTATTAAGCTCAGAGCATCCAAAATATTCTCAATATAAAAGCAATATAATAATTATTAGTGAGATATTTTACATTTTTATATTAAATATTTAAATTCAATTCTGAATTTTACACTGATAGCACTTTACACATTTCGAGTGCTCAATAACCATTTGGGGCTAGATGTTACCATAGAGGGCAAGATCTAGAAGATCATGCATTTTGGTTTAGAATGCTCCAGAAAGCTTAGGTCCATTCAAGATAAGGTACCATGTTTCAAATGTTCTAGGAGGCCTGATCCATTTAATATGTCTGGAGTCAAGGTAACTGAGTAGATAGACCACCTATGTCTATGTTAGTGTGCATCAGTAAAGGAGATCATCTGAAAGAGATTTTTATAAGGGACCAAGATTTATCACATACACACACACTTCTAAGTAGACTACAAAATTCAATACCAACTCACGAAGACATATTACTCAAGCAACAAATGGTTGAGCATCAGGCATTGTGGTTAGTTAACACTGGGACAAAATAGATGCATCTACACAGTAAACACATGAAACTTACAATCAAGTGGGTAGAAAGAGATAATAAAAATCTATCATATAATTTAAAAAACAGCATATTGTGAGAAGTACCATGAAGAAATAAATGCTGTAAAGTGATAAAAAGTTCATGGTATTGGGGAAAGGAGCTTTTTATGTAAAGAGATAAAGGATAGAAAGATATCTGTGATAAGGTAACAACTGAGCTGAGACATAAAGAATGAGGAGTTAGATAGCAAATACTAGTGAACAATTTAAGGGTATGATGGAGAGAAACTTACACTTGGTAGAAGGAATAGGTGTGTAAATGCATTAAGACTACAAATATTCCATTCTTAGCAGGAAAGGGGATTGGAAGAAAATTGCAATAAGGTGAAGTTCATATACAATATGAAAAGTACAAACAATTGAGACCAAAAGAAAATTATTTTATAAAACAATCAAATGATCCTAGCATGACTAGCACCCCACTACCACCAAGTACGGGAATCTGATTTGTAGATATAGATCAATGGCCCTGTGTGACCTAAAAATTAAAAACAAAGTCATCTAAATGCTTATTGATACTATGTAAGAATTTGGTTATCATATATACAAAATTTTAAGCCCTGTGTGAAAAGGCCCAAAGCTTTTCCATCAAACCCTGAAAAGTCAATCTAATTGCTTCAGAACTATCAAATTTGCATTGATTAAAAAAGCAATGTGCAATGGAGTTGTTAGTTGTCATTATGATTGACTTATCACTATTATAAAAAAAAAGATGTGATATTAGTATACCTGTAAGTAAGACAAGCTAAAGGAGGTGAAAAACTGCTGAGACCAGATTTTATGTGAGCAGTATAGGTATAGTTATTTTAAAGATTTACATAAGTGCTGCTTTAAATCATTTAAATAAGCAAGGATTAGGACAGTGGGATTTGGTAAAAAGAAACTGGATTTGCTGTTGGGAGATTCAGCTCTACTCTTGGCTCTGCCATTATTTACTCACGTGATTTTTGACAATTTTCTCAACCTCTTTGAAAACTTTTGCTTCATTTGTAATATAAGAGTGATGTACTACATACATCACAACTAGAACAGTTGCAGTTGAGTGATGAATAATCGTCCAGGTATATTTTTCATGAACTCATTCTTGATAGTCATAAGCTTACAAAGTAAATATTATTTTTAGAATAATTAATACTAGACCTAAGTGAACAAAGTGGCACAACTTCAATCAAGTTCCTGATAAGGCAAATAAAACTACAAATAGCCTACTCGATCAATACAATACAAAATTAGAAATCCAGCTCTTATTTCTAGTCTTACTGAGATTCTGGACTTTTCTATACTTATGCTACTATGTGCCTCACATGCCCATTTGCAAAATGAAGATCATAGTCTTCATTATACAAGAGTAGTAGCTTAGAAATTTCTGATTCAGAAGTCTCATTAAAGAATTCTGATCACCTCTGTGGGTCTGGGTGGAACTTGAGAATCTGCATCTTAATAAGCACCACAGGTGATTTTTGACACAAATAGAGCACATGCTGACAAATACTGCCTTGAGCCATGGAAAAAATAACTCTAAGATAATAGAAGAGATCACCTGATAAACACAAAGTCTTCTTATAAGTTGTAGACTGTATGGAGGAAAAAAGAAAATAACAATTATAAAGAGTATCATCACCATCCCCATCATCATCATCATCATCCTGTAGTTTCTGTAGTGATTACAGTGGCCAGACATTGTTCTAAGGAATTTACATACTTTAGCTCATTTAGTCTGTCTTCACTACTACACCATGAGTTTGGTACTGTTACCATTTTACAGATAGGAAACAAACAAACAAAAATTAATTGCCCTGAGTAATACAGCCATCTGACTTCAAATGTCAGTCTTAAGCACTATACCAATGGACCCAAACTTTGATACACATGAGATTCACCTAGAATGCTCTTGTCAGAACACAAATTAGTGGCTTTACCCCCCAAATTTCTGGCTCAGTAGGCCTTAAATAGGGCTTGAGAATTTACATTCATAACAAATTCCCAAGTGATACTGATACTGGTGGTCCAGGGACCTCCCTTTGAGAGCTACTGCTCAGTGTTGTGGTTTTCACCATTATAATCTGTCACTGCTGTATCCTTACATTTTCTGAGTAGAGCAAGAGCAGAGCAGACTTTTTGGACACTTTTGGCAATCCAAATATGGAATCACTGTCAGCCATGACCATTATATCAACTG